GGGGACACAGTCTGGAGAGACAGGGGACACAGTCTGGAGAGACGAGGGGACACAGTCTGGAGAGGCGAGGGGACACAGTCTGAAGAGGCGAGGGGACATAGTCTGGAGAGACAGGGGACACAGTCTGGAGAGGTGAGGGGACACAGTCTGAAGAGACAGGGGGACACAGTCTGGAGAGGCGAGGGGACACAGTCTGAGAGGCGAGGGGACACAGTCTGAAGAGACAGGGGGACACAGTCTGGAGAGGTGAGGGGACACAGTCTGGAGAGACGAGGGGACACAGTCTGAAGAGGCGAGGGGACACAGTCTGAAGAGGCGAGGGGACACAGTCTGAAGAGGCGAGGGGACACAGTCTGGAGAGACAGGGGACACAGTCTGGAGAGACGAGGGGACACAGTCTGGAGAGGCGAGGGGACACAGTCTGAAGAGGCGAGGGGACATAGTCTGGAGAGACAGGGGACACAGTCTGGAGAGGTGAGGGGACACAGTCTGGAGAGACAGGGGACACAGTCTGGAGAGACGAGGGGACACAGTCTGAAGAGACAGGGGGACACAGTCTGAAGAGACAGGGGGACACAGTCTGAAGAGGCGAGGGGACACAGTCTAGAGAGACAGGGGACACAGTCTGGAGAGACAGGGGACACAGTCTGGAGAGGCGAGGGGACACAGTCTGGAGAGGCCAGTCTCTCACTCTATGAGTGCTCCCCACCTCACTGCTTGCCCGGCTGCCTCCTCCACCACAGACGTGGCCTTCCGTCATCCTCTACAACGCTCTCTCCCAGCCTTTCTGATGCCTTGTCTACCTCCTCTGATCTAAAGCTCACAGCTAGGAAGGACTCAGGCACAGGCCATTGCCCTCATTCTTCTGCTCCTTCCCTGTGACCAGATCCCTTCCTGTGACCTTAAATGTCCTCCATGTTCTCACACTCTCTAATGTCTCCTAGCAAACCCTCGCTCTGGCTTGAGGACACCGACCTCGCACATGCCAACGCTTTTTCAGATGGCCTTTACCTAACAGCTCTTGAGGACTTCTTTTACTATCTGTGGTTTCCACGGGGGCCATGACGATGAGTTCCAAGCATAAATCAGATCCTAAACCCATAGACTAGAACCCCAAACAGGCTTCCGTTTCCTGTGGCTGCTGTAACAAATTACCACAAACTTAAAACAGCACAGCTTATTCTTCACAGCTCTGGAGGCCAGGGGTCAGGGTGTTGACAGAAAAATCGTCCCTCCAAAGGCCCTGGAGAGTCCCACTCCCTCTCCCTCTCTGCTTCCTCGGCTGTGATTGCCTCAAAGCAGTCTGTCCCTGGCCTCTGGCTTCCTATGGCCTCCCTTATCTGTTTTTCACTTGTTTGTTTGGTTTGGGGGACTGGGTCTCTCTATGTAGCCCAAGCTAATCTAAACTCTGAATAATCCTGCCTCGGCTCACCTAATGCTAGGGATTAGAGGCGTGTGCCACCACGCCTGGCTGCCTACCCTGGGATTTTCATGTTGAGCGTGCGTTTTTGTCTGCACGCCAGGCCGGCCTCATGCTCGTAGCGGTCCTTGCCCGGCCTTGCCAGGACTTCGTGACAGGCGTGAACAACGGTGCGGTTTCCTTTCAGGGCATTTGTCACAGGACTTACCACTCACTCACATGGTCTCACCTCAAGGTCATAAATTACGACTATGAAAATCTTTTTGCCCATATAAAGAAACATCATAGGTTCCAGGGACTAAAACTGAGGCAAATCTGCCCACCAGCTACCATTTCACTGGCTCTGGCCCAAGTCCTCCCTAAACTCATCTCCCCTTCTCCCTGAGAAGCAGGCTCTTCCTTTACTGCCTTTTCTTACTTCTCTAAGACAAGGTCACCGTCACCCTTGGCCTCTTCCTGCACTGCTCCTTTTCTGCTGTCTACCTAGCTGACTCTCCGGGGCTTCAGTTTAAACCTCATTCTGCGGACAACTGTGCCTTCAGTTTAAATGTTTAAACGTCATTCTGCGGACAACTGTGCCTTTACCTTTGGCTCCGCTGCCACCCCCAGCACGCGGCTGCTCTTCCTCGGCACCGACTGTCCCTTTGTTCACCAAGGCAGGGCTAGTTCCACAGGGACTTGTGGGCTTCCCCCAGCATATCTGTCTTTCCCCCTGGGCTATCAACTCTTTATATCATGTTAGGAAACGCATCTGTTTGGTTCTCTTGTGTGTGCATATTCAGAGCACATGATAGCCTGAAAAAAGGGGTCTAAAGTCAACAGTCCCTCCCTTCCCCCCTTTGAACGGGTTAAAGAACTGCGCATAAAGGCTCAGGGTACGGTACGGAGCAGACAGCACAGAACTCCTCTTCCCTATGTAGGAGTTGCTGTGCCCCGCCTAGCCTGGGCAGGCCATATAACTGAGCAAATGGAAAAAGCATAGCCGATTACTATTAGCAGATCCTATGGATTTTCTTGGCCGTCTGTTCAGCTGGATAAGTAGAGTATTCATTCCGCATTTTGTACTATCCATCTCCTGACCAGAGGGATGGACTGTAGTTTCTCAGAATTGCTAGGAGAAACTGATAAAGAATGACTTTTAAACCTTTGACCTAATACCAAACTGGAGGATTAATATATATTACAAAAAAATTCTCTTCCTTGGGATGCCTGGAATTTCTCAGCCTCTCTTCTTCTCCACAAGCCACTTTTAAATTGAAATATGATCCGCATACCATAAACCCTACCCTGTGCTACACGATTCAGTATTTTGCACCAAGTGGAATCACCTGTTACTCGTTCCAGAAAATTCTCAACACATTACGCTTCCCTCCGACCAAGAAAAGAAAAACCCTCCCTGAGCAACCATGGTTTACCCCTCCCTCTCAAGAGCCCTGGTAACCATGGATGTACTGCATACAATTTGTCCAGTTGTCCTTTTTACATTCATGAAACTAAAACATAGAAACATGTCATGACTTACAAGGAGTTACTTAGAGAACAAGCACCTGCATTTACAGAAACGTTTTGTATGTAAAAGCAAAAAATGCTTACTGTATCTAGTACATGCCCTTAAATGTGGCCCCAAACATCTGATAAGGGCAGGGTATATAAAAACTTTCAGGACAACGCAGCTCACTGGAAAGAGGCAAAGATACGGGGATATTCGCTAGTAATCTCTCTCTCTCTCTCTCTCTCTCTCTCTCTCTCTCTCTCTCTCTCTCTCTCTCTTTTTTTTTTTTTTTTTTTTTTGGTTTTTCGAGACAGGGTTTCTCTGTGGCTTTGGAGGCTGTCCTGGAACTCACTTTGTAGACCAGGCTGGCCTCGAACTCACAGAGATCCGCCTGCCTCTGCCTCCCGAGTGCTGGGATTAAAGGCATGTGCCACCAACACCCGGCTAGTAATCTCTTTTAAGAGGCAGAGCAGGAGGACCAGTTGAGGATTCATGGGACCCTGTCTCAAAAAAAAAAAAAAATCACTCATGATACTGGCGGAAAGGAACTGCACTTATGAACAGAGAAAAGTTGAGGCAGCAGTACAGGAGACAAGTGTTTTCTTCTCAGCCCAAGATTTTGAAAGGAAGAGTGTCCATGTGTCAGGGAACCACTTAGCTACCTGTACAGAAGACAGGGCGGGTCCAGGGATACTCATCATTTGCAGCTCACTCATATGTAGCTAATGCATGATAGTGCTGACATCACTTCTGCATCCTAACTGGCTAATGGCATCTAACCCGACTTTCTGGATACCCTAGCCGAACTTTCTAGTAAGGAAAATAATCGCATGTTCAGGTAACTATCACACCATCATCATAAATGTGTACACAGGAACATTAGTTCTATAGGCTAAAATCAGCAGAATTAGTTTGCAAAAATAATTAGGCATAAGTTTTATTGCATCTTAATCAACATTACAAACACCACTAACAAAAAGACAGTGTCACTGCTCAAAATACAGAAAACTGAACCTGAGCTTTGTGCTCATTCAAAAATATTAAAATAGAGGCCGGGCGTTGGTGGCACACGCCTTTAATCCCAGCACTCGGGAGGCAGAGGCAGGTGGATCTCTGTGAGTTCGAGGCCAGCCTGGTCTACAAAGTGAGTTCCAGGACAGCCTCCAAAGCCACAGAGAAACCCTGTCTCGAAAAACCAAAAAAAAAAAAAAAAAATTAAAATAGTAATTCAGAAAGCCAAGTCAAATCTAAATTTTACTCATTAAAACCGAGACACTAAATGGCTGGACACATACAAGAGACTACTATTGGCTGAGTAAACACAATTTCCCTTACAAACAAGGTATTTAAAGTTATAGAAAGCCTGATGACTATATCATCATTTTTTAATAAAAACTACCACTAAGCTGCTTATGCAGATAATGTATTCACAGGACTGGTCAGTAAACAACAAAATGGTTGTTTACTGACCTTGCTTATCAAATACTTCCATAACTTTTAATTTAAGCATGTAAACTTGCTTGAAAGATCAGCGCCTAACTGTCTACAGCAAATAGAGAACTCAAGTAACAATAAGTTGGAAATAAGAAGTGAAAGAATATTTTGCCTATTTCATTTCGGTGTACCTTTGGAATGAAATTAGAATATACCTACATAAAAAAACACAACTCCAGTTTCCTTTGTTATGAATTATGGATATAAATAAACCATCAGCCTAAAAAGTCATAATCACCAATACAGAGAAAAAGGTAAACACAGAATTAAATAGTCTTAAAAGTCTTTTCTCTGTTTTGATAGGGACATCAAGCTACTAAATAAAAGTCATTTCAACAGTCACTTTCAGATTGCATCCATTTTCATTCTGTCACATGACAGGGGACTAACAGGAACAAAAGGCAAAAAGAAAAATTTTGAAAAATAAGTAAAAAAAATTGTTTTCAAGAGGACATGGTCAAGGCTAGAGTGCATTCAGGGGAATTTCCTTATTTTTATATATTTTCATTGAATAAAATCAGGGCTAAGCATTGACCACAGGATCTAGACAAATCTCTGATAAACTTTCAGGTTGCTGAATAACTTACAGAAAAGTGGCAACAGATTTTTATTCTAAGAGTCAATGAGAACAAAAGTCACAAGTCCATACAAACTTTAATGTTTTGAAGTGGTCACCCTAAACAATTTACTTAAATCCCCAGTTTACAAAGTTCCCTCTCTCCACGCAAGCTGTCAAGTGAACACTGAAAACAATTTCCTTTTGAATTCCTGAGGACTGGTTTCTCTATGGAACATGCGTTTTTCATACCACAGTCAAGAAGCTGTGGCTCACTCCCAAATTTAGCTTGTGATTTCTGAATAAAATGTTAGTAGGGAACCAGTAGAAATGTCTTAAGACTTATTTAGTTTTGAAATAACTTAGTTTGGAAAATATTTATATTCCTTTGAAAGCTGAAGACGTTTAACAAACACATCAGTTCAACAATCATTAAATAAAATGACTATAAAACTAACTATAATAACTCCACTGAGAAACACACCACTTCAGGTGAGTTCGGGTCATGGGAATTTAAAAGCTGTTTCTCTGTCTTCAAAACTGAACACTGCTCAGCGGTTCCGCACTACCTATGTTAAAAGTAAGGACACAAAAGTGTTCCTAAAAATCACCATGGGTGAGGAACCGGCAGAAGGATGTTATCATTGAACTTTCAGGTTGAAAGGGACCCTCAAGAGTCAATCCAGCTATTCAGATGAAGAAACTGAGGACCAAGCAAGATAAATGACTCAGCCAAGCTCATCCCGCCACCAAGCCTCTTGTTCACCCACTTTGAGAGTTGCCAGGCTGCCGGGTGTTGGCAATGAGCTTGAAGGTAGCAATCAGCAGCTACCAAGACAGCCTTTTTTCCCTTGCAACCTTAAGATAACCCTTCCAAATTTCCAGGTAAGCAAGAACTCATGGGGGAGTTGAACACTTTCTGCAGAACTGAGTTCACTTTCAGTTGCACACGCTGCAGTAAACACACTTGGGGTTAGTTTCAGAGAGGCCTCAATTGTGTTTACTTGAAGTGATTAAGCATTGACGAAGGGAGGCACAGAATTCTGAATGAGTGCCATTCTAGTACATTCGCAACGTAAGGAAGTGCGATGAGAAAATGCCCTATAATCACAAACAATTTCACAGAGTGGACAGCTTGCAGAGTGCTGTGAGGTATGGATATAGGTCAGTCAGTCCAATAGCTCCTGTTTACAAAGAACAGAATGGGAACGCCTCACCATTTCATTTTGGCGGGAGTCTAGGTTTCTGAGAAAATCTGTCCAAAAAAGACCTCCAAACTTGCACTCAGACCAATACCCTCATCCAATGAAATATATATCGACACCAGGCCTTTTTTCTCAAGGTCAAATTTCCTCAACTTCTATTTGATCATGGACAAATTAGTTTCTAAAAAACCTCAAATTTAATGGGCTGCCTAAAAAAATTTAAATCCCATCATCAAAACAGTAACAGCTCTAATTACACATCCACAAGTTTTGATAAAAAAAATAAAAGGACATGCAATGAATTTACTCATCAGCATGAATCGTATCCCATTTTGCTTGAACTTTTACACTCTTTAATACTAAGCCTTGCACTTAAGTGTGTTTTTGTGGTGCTGTGGATCGGACGGGTCTTGCCCACTCGGCTGAGCTGCACACACAGCCCACCCCCAGCCCATAGTTAAGTGCTGTGTGCGTCTCAATTCACAGCAGTTTCTTTAAAGAGAAGTCAGGGTGGCCACGCCGACAAAGCTTTTAAGTAAAGCAACCCTCGAGGAAAGAAGGGAGGCACTTTGAAATCCTGAGCGACAGTGCTCCATGCTCCCAGTCTCAGAGTGACAGCCCCAAATGAACCACGGCTCTCCAGTGGCCTCACAGCCATCCACTGGGTGACTTCTGGGAACAATACAATCATCACTGGGCACTTGGACTTTCCAGAAGGCACTGTCAGCTCCCAAAAAGAAGACGCTGTTCTGCTCATCTATTTCTCAAAACTCCAGATCTGATTTTTATCATGGGCATTACACGTTTTCATCTGTACACTGGGTCGGCCTTCAGATGTCCGGAAAGCACTAAGGCACAGTCCAGTATGAGGGTGGAAAATAGTTCCGTCTTCTTTAAACAGCCAAACGATGTTTACTGGAGCAGGGACACCATCTTTGGGACAGTTTTGCATCCCTACGTGAGTTTTTTGTTCAGGGACCTCTGCACACAATTCAGTCACAGAATTAAATCTGATTTCTTTGTTTGAAGTGTATTCAAAGAACTGATTGCCTCCTTGACCGTGACATCCAAACAAGGAAAGGTTGGCACCTGTGGGGTTGTTATCAGGGGCGTTATAGTCCAAGCACTCGGAAGAGATGCCCATGCTACGAATAGCTCCATGCCAGCCAGGTCTATCCTCAGGGACATGTAAGTTGGAAAACACGTTTTTCAAATACCAGTCGAAGCTCTTGCATTCCAGCCGTTCCCTCAGTAACTTTCTTTCAGAAATATCACCATAGGCCTCTTTGCGAGCGGGAGGGTTTCGGTTGTAGAAATGCTCTTTGTATTCATCCATCCATACTTCGGCGGCCCTGGCGGTATTCTGTAGGAAATTGGGACGCGCATACGGCGCCCTCTTGGGGAACACGTGGCCCACATGAGAACATGGGTGGATCTCCAGTTTGCCACCGCACTGCCAAACCCTGAAAGACAGCTCAAGATTTTCACCTCCCCAAACTTCCATTCCAGTGTCGTATGTCCCCAGGTACTGAAAATACTTCTTGCTGACGGCAAACAGTCCTCCTGCCATGGTGGGTGACCTGATGGGATCAATTCTTGATGTGCGCCTGTCCCTTTCATGTTTGGGGACAGAATGCCACTGGAATGTTAAACGCCAGTCAAACCCACCAATCATGGGCTCCCCAGTCTGCATGTAGAACTCAAAAGTGTTCCAATCTATAGTATCAATGACAGGGCACACAATTGCTGTTTCATCGCTACTAATCCTTTCCAAAAGTGGTTCCAACCAACCAGTGTTACACTCACAGTGGCAATCCAGGAACGTGAGGACATCCCCAGTGGCAAAAGTGGCCCCAATGAGACGGGCCCGGACCAGACCCTCTCTCTTATTGGTTCTAATCAAGCGAACTCTTTCGAGATTGCTGATGTAAGTTTCAAGTTGTGTCTTCAAATAAACTCTGTCACTCAAGTCATCGACCAAGATGATCTCCTTCAAGAGCACTGCAGGAGAAGTTTCTAAAACACTGTGAATGGTTCGAAGCAGAGTGGACCAGGCTTCGTTATAGAAGGCGATGATGACGGAGGTGGTGGGGAGCGACCTGTAGTGGAACTTCTTGGCTTTACACTCAGGCATTCTTTTATCCTCTATGTGTCGGTGCAGGGAGATCCTATCACTGACATAAATATTGATGGCATATCTCTCAATGAGTTCTTCCTGCTGCTTCAGTTCACCCTCGTTGAGCTGGAGTTTGCTCGCTCTCCCCCACTCCCCAAGAGCATGGGAATCTGCAGGGGGCTTTATATAAAGAGGCTGGGACAAATCCTCTCCCCTTGTCTCAGGGTCTGAGAGCCGTCTCGGTCCCAGCTGCCTGGCATGGCCGGCTCCCGGGGAGGCGTACAAAGTGGAGACTGAGAGCTCTACCAGGATATAAGCCAGGGTTAAAAGCGCCAGCAGCAGGCAGCTCTTGCCTGCCCAGGTCCACCTTACGGCCATCTGGATCCTCACGAGTCGTGCGTAGACGCGGCCACCCAGCCAGCACTCGGGGGAAGTGCTGCGGATCCTGCGGCTTGAGTTCCCGGCTCAGGTAGGGGCGAACTTCCAACCAGATCCTCTCATGCAGGCGCTCAGATCCTTCCCAAACACCGGGGTTTCCCGGGGGTCACTTGAGACCCCTCGCTCCTCGGCCTCCGGTGCAGCTCAACTTTTCGGCCCCCACTTCCTCCTGCTCCTCTTAGAACTTTTCACAAACTCTCCAGCCAATACTCCACCCTCCCCAGGCCGATCACAAACCCCTCCCCTGCCCACTCACTCCTCCTGGTGGTTAGTTCACGAAAGTTGTCTGTCAGGCCCAGACCGACCGAGTCGGTGCAGAGCAGAGGCCCGGGGACCTGCAGAGGCCCGGTGCGCCCCATCGCGCCTGGCTCCCTCAGACAGGGACGAAGGAGAAGGAAAGAAAGGTTTTCAGCTACGTGATCTTTGCTTACTGTCACAAAAAACAAAAACAACAAAAAAACCAACTTACCAAGTTGTTTGCAGTTGGGGTTGAAGTCCACGGAGGTGATCGCAGCTTTGTGGCCTTTAAAATAACGTTCCAGAATCGGGTCCTCCTAGGAGGGAAAGTTGTCGAGTTTGAAAGCAGGAGCGGAATTCGAACTCTCGGGACCAGAGGTCATCGTTGCCTGTCTCCCGAGATCGGAGAGGACCCCGGCTCATCGGTGGGCAGCGTGGGAGGAGGGGGCATCACCTCCGGGGTGACAGGCTCCGGGAACTGCCCCCGCCCCCGCCGGAGGAGCCCCCTCCCCCGACTCCCCAGCCCAGGCTCTGGAGAACGCAGTCCAGGGACCCGCCCCGGCTCGCCCTCCCCGAGCCGAGCCGCCGGTGCACGCCGCAGGCTCCCGCGCCCTTTAAACCTCTCAGGTGATTCTGACGCACGTGAGGCGCGGAACCGGCCGGGAAGTCGGGGGGGGGGTCCCAGCGCTCAGCGCCCCGGGAGCAGCGCTCAGCGCCCCGGGCTCCTGGGCACAGCGCTCCAGCTGCTGAGAGCGGGGCGATCGGCCGAGCTCCCAGACCCGGGCAGCTCACACCTGCTGCCTCCGTGGTCCCCCAGGCCGAGCGGGGTTCCCCCCGCGCCCCACCTGGCCTCGCCGCCATGGGGTCGGCTCGGACAGCGGCGGGGACCTTACCCGGGCGGAGGCCATGAGGGTAGCGGGCAGCTCCGGGGCCGCGGGAGCCAGGGAGGGGCGGGGACGAGGGGGGGGACCGTGCGGCGCCCGGAACCGTCAGCCCCGAGCGCGGGCGCCTCCCGGTCACTACAACAACGGCGGGCCAATCAAAGCCCGCGCCCCAGGCGTGGCCAGACGAGCCCCGAGACGCCGCCCGCGCGGCGGACGGCGGAGGGCCTGGCGGGAACGCGCCCGCACACAGCGAAGCCCGCGCGCCTCCGAGGCTGCGGACCCCCGGGTTGGTGCCGGGAAGCGGGGAGTAGCGGCCTGGGGGGAAATGCGATCCGTGCGGGGCGAGGCGGGGGCGAGCCTGTGATCGATGCCATCAGAGTTCTATTACACCTTAAAGAGACCGCGCCCAAAGCACGCGAGCGGATTCGCGACGCCGGAGCGGGAACTCTGATGTTCAGGCAAGCTGGTGGCTGGGATATCACATTCAGAGAAGCTGATTCCTCCCGGCGGAAGATGTGGGTTTGTTTTTAAAGAAGGGAAGCCGCATCTAGATAGTTCTTCAAAGCCTTTGACACCGAACAACAAACCCTGCCCCGAAGCATTTAAAGGACTCATCTGAAAATTATATATGAAACGAAAATTCTTGGCAACAAAATGTCATGATAACTGGTAAGACACATGTTCTATGTAAGTGGAAAATGTCTTAATTACAGGTTCTTTAACTGGCTGTTATGCTTGCATTTAGTCTTAACCACTATGTAGCAATTAAGTAGGTAGAGAATGACTGTAATCCGTATTAGTTTAACACACTCGGGTGGGCGGGTGCTAAATATATCTTTTGTATGCTTGACCCCCAAGGGCAACAAAAAAGAAAGGGGGAGGGACAAAAAAGGCCAAAAATATGTTTCCTGCCCTCAAGAACTTGCCATTCTCCTGCTGGACTGTAGCGTGCCTGAAGACTGCTTGCCTAGCATGAACTTGCTGGGCTGTAGCGCGCCTGAAGACTGCTTGCCTAGCATGAACTTGAGTCCATCCCCAGCTCCACACCAACCAGTCCTAGCGCTGGGGAGTTAGAGGCAGGAGTATCTGAAGTCCGAGGTCATCCTTGGCCACATTGTAAGTTGGCGCCAGCCTGAGATATGTGGACTCTGTTAGCCAATAACAAAAGCAAACAACAAGAGTCCCTCAGTAGTCTAACGTGAGGAGTCTCATATTTTAGTATATTTGATGCTGACTGGGGTTGCCAAAGATGTCACTAGTATTTATGGTACAGGACCTAGCACTGCCCATATAACAAACTCCTTGGGTGGTTGCTATGGTATATTATCCCATAGTATATGGGATAGATATCCCACAGCTACTTAGTGAGTTCCTTTTGTATCAGTCATCTATTGCTATAACAATGCTGTGTAACAAGTGTAACAGTGAGTGGCATACAAAAGTGAACTGTTACTTAGTTCGTTGGTATGCAAGACATACTTTAAATGATGAGATAGGCCCTAGGGTATACCCTGCTACTGTTACTTCACTAAATGATGATGCCGTCAATTTGCCTTTTAAGCATTTATGTGTATGCCAGTAGGCCTGGGCTACTCTCAACATTGGTTGAGAAGCTGCGTTTTGCAGTTGACAGTAGTCAATGCACAGACCCATCACTGGTCTGAGTGCTGAGAACAAGTCTGTGGGTGCTTAGTTGTAAACATAACGTCTCTATCACACCCCACTCCCACCGCACGTGTTCAGACACAGAAGAGGAGCAGAGGATAAGGATGAGGAGGGCTGTGACATGCCCTCTTCTGGCCATGACATGGCTATTGCCCATGCATAGCAGCTGTAGTTACCTGCGCAGGATCAAGCTGGCCCAAATTCTAGTGTAGATGTGGGTGGTGCTCTCCAAGTCCCGCCCCTTAGCTGAGGAGCTATAGGCAGTTGGTAGCTACTGGAAAAGGGAGGGGCGTTCTTCTTTGAGAGTATGGTCAATGGCCCCACACCCATGCACCACTGGGCAGGTGGATTATTAATGAAGATGTGGAGTTGGGAGAGGGGCCCATTGAGAGGGCTATAGGGGAAGTTGGAGGAGGGAAACAGGAGGTAGGTACGTTCCATTATATACATGCATGATTTTCTCACAGAGTAAAAATATATTATTGTGTCATCACCCAAAGTTGACCTTAAGACCTTTATCTATTCCCAGGAACAAAACAACACGTTGTCACATCCTATGATGTACAGATGCAGCTAGATGCTCTTCTAAGTAACTGCTTACATCCAGACATTTAACCATCATAATCATCTTAAAGAGGCTTATATTTCCACTTGAAATACAAAAACATTGTTTCTAGCCCAAGGCACACTGCTCAGAAAAGAGAGAGCTAAAAAATTTCAGGCATTCAGCAATCCTCTTCCAGCCGCAAAGTCCTGACATCTCTTGTATAATTGCAAGTTTTTGTTTTATTTTATTTTTTATCTTTGTTTTGAGACAGGGCCACACTGCATAGCCCTTGTTGACCTCAAACTCCAGATTCTCTAGCTTCTGTCTCCCAGGTGCTGGGATATCAGATATATGCCACCATGCTTAGACTCACGATTGTATGCATATTGTAAATATATGTGACTATGTGGCTCAGCGTGTACAGGCACTTGCTGCCGGGCTTGACAACGGGAGTGGAAGGCAAGAGCCAGGCCCCACTGGCTGCCTTCTGACCTCTATATGAGCTTTCATGACGGGTGCATCCCCTCTGCAGTAATTTTCAGGGGTTTTCTGCATAACAGCCCTGACTGTCTGGAACTCACTTTGTAGACCAGACTGGCCTTGAACTCACAGAGATCCACCTACCTCTACCTCTGGAGTGCTGGGACTAAAGGTGTTCCCCACCAGTGCCTGGCCTGATCCAGTAGCATTTTAAAAATTGTATGCTGTCCATGGTTTTAATAAGTTTGGCCAAGATAACGAAAGCAAAATCTCAGTTACGTTCAGCCCACAGCCCTCATCTATTGCTCTAAGCTCCCCTCTGTAGCCCTTCCCATGTTTGTTTTTTCTCTCCCTACCCTTTCTGCCAGCAGCAGGGACTCATAGACAGACACTGGGAAAATAGCCAAAGCTAAGGAAGTCTTCTGATCTCAAACCTGTGTGAGTTTGTGTGTAACCCGCTTCCACAGCAATCACTTTGCACTTCACAAAACGTCAAATTTAACGTTGGCATGGAAGTAGCCACAGGCAGGGTGGATCAGTATTTGTAAGCTGATTGGAGACTGTATACTAAGTAGGGCAAAACCGTCTTTAGTTGGCTCTTATTTCCCAGATCTCCCTCAGACTGGATAGTGAATGAGTCTGCTTGAGCCCTATACAGGTTTGTTTTCAGTGCGGATCGTTCCTAGGTTAGTGGTGTTCCTAGGTTAGTGTTGTTCCACTTTGGAAATTCAGGCACGTAAGTGCCACCTACTGTTCACATTACTGTATGGCACTTGCATTAAACAGTTCTTCACAGGCTGTGGTCCGACTGCCTCTTGATACAAGTGCTCCCTCCCAGAGTGTGGGAGACTCCATAGACAGGAAAAACATGAGCTGAATGGGAGTCATTAAAGCATTACACAAATTTTGGAAGACCGTGGATGATTTATTTAGGTCAACGTTCAGTCTCTAAATCTTACCGATTATATCCTCGTAAATATTCCTATCACCCTATTTTCTGTTCCTCTGCTTCCTGCCACAGAGATAGTGACGTGCTCTCAAGTTAGGTTTCCATCCTCATAGAGTATTTTCGTGACCTTGATGTGCTTTCTGACTTCAAGGCTTTCTCGTTCTGTCTACCTTGTTTATAGCAGACACACCTGTGCTGCTGGCTAAAAGTACTGATTCCTGAGCCCCGCCTCCCCATCAAGCGTTTTGAAATAGAAAGCCTGGTGTGAATCCCAGAAATTTACATGTTGTAAAACAAACTTCATGGTCAATTATAATACATTGCCATTTGGGAACCCTGTGCATACTGTGCTATGGACATGTAAAAATGCCACAAGCCAAATCCTTTCTTTCCTGCTCAATCACATGTACTCAGGGGCTAATACGTAAGCCATTGCAACCCACTATATGCACCCAGAGTCTGGAGGCTTTGTTAGGACATCCTGAAGCTGAAAATGCTGTGCCACTTTGCCAACTTGCACATGAAGGGACCCACACCAGGACCTGGAAAAACCTATGTTTATGTGAGGTGATCTTCTCCCAGCCGGATCCCCCTACAGTACGTAGCCTTCCCCTCACTTCCTTTGTGTCCCCTTCCTGTGTAATCTGTAGTTCCACTTGGCATGTTTTGTGTTGCCACAT